CATTGTCTTCTCATTCCCTTCCCTTCCTTCCTGCCTCATGGTTCCCTATTGGAAAGAGGATCAGTGCTGCAGTTCACCCTGGATCAAAGTGCTGAAGTGGAAGCACGTAAAGACAAGTTCATAGATTCATAGATGCTAGAGGCAGAAGGGACCTCAGTGGATCATCAAGTCCAACCCCCTGCCCATGGCAGGAAAAAGTGCTGGGGTCATGTTACCCCAGCCATGTGAATAGTTCTCCTATTCCCTGCTGCTCCCCCCGCCCTCCCCCAGTGAGTTTGTATACCATGCCTAGCACTAGCAGGTGCCATTTTGCTCAATGGTGATATTACTTTTGCCTCCCAACAGGCACATCTTAAAATCCATTTCAACGTTTGTAGATGGTGAGAAATGCTTCTCACCTTGTGAACCTCCAAACTACTGTGATCAGCAAAACAGATTTATTTTCAAGTATCTATGTTCTGTTAAGACATTCTACATAGTTGTAGGCAGTATTATTGCTATAAGAACCCCCCTCAGCCTTCTCTTCTGGAGGCTGGAAAGGTCCAGATCCCTCAGTCTCTCCTCATAAGGCCCTGCAGGCCTCTAACCATATGAATGGCCCTCCTCTGAACCCTCTCATGGTTGTCCACATCCCTCTTGAATTGCATTGCCCAAAATTAGATGTGGTACTCCAGCTGTGGCCTGACCAGTGCCACATAGAGGGGAAGCATCACGTCCCTGGACCTGTTCATGCACCTACTAATGCATGAAAGTTGCCAGCCCCTTGTAGGGTGTGCTGCTGTAGCAGCATGGAAGATGTTAGAATTAATCTCCCTTCTTCATCTTTCTGAGGTCTCTTTCATCTCTCATCTCATATTCTGGCACTCTGTCCTCCTTTATCCCACAATGAATCTCATGAGGCTCAATAAGGACAAGTGCAAAGTCCTGCACTTAGGATGGAACAATCCCATGCACCAGTACAGGCTTGGGACTGACTGGCTGGGCACCAGCTCTGCAGAAAAGGACCTGGGGTTACAGTGGACAATAAGCTGAATATGAGCCAGCAGTGTGCCCTTGTTGCTAAGAAGACTAATGGCATACTGGGATGCATTGGTAGGTATGTTGCCAGAAAGTCAAGGCAAGTGATTATTCCCCTCGATTCAGCGCTAGTAAGGCCACATCTGGAGTACTGTTTTCAGTTTTGGGCCTCCCACTACAGTAAGGATGCGCACAAACTGGAGACAGTCCAGTGGTGGGTGACAAAAATGGTGAGGAGGCTGGGGGACATGACTTATGAGGGAACTGGGCTTCTTTAGTCTAGAGCAGAGACTGAGAGGGGATATAATAGGAGTCTTCAACTAACTGAAGCGGGGTTCAAAAGAGGATGGAGCTAGGACTGTTTTCAGTGGTGCCAGATGACAGAACAAGGAGCAATGGTCTCAAGTTGCAGCAAGGGAAGTTTAGGTTAGATATTAGGAAGAATTTTCTCACCAGGAGGGTAGTAAAACACTGGAACAGGTTACGCAGAGAGGTTGTGGAAGATCCATCCTTGGAGGTTTTCTAAACCTAACTAGGCAAAGCCTTGGCTGGGATGATCTAGCTGGTCCTGCTTTGAGCAGGGGGTTGGAATAGATGACCTCCTGAGCTCCCTTCCAACTCTAACTTTCTATGATTCTATTCCCTGTCTGATATGGGCGAGTCGGACACTGAGGACATGGAAAAGGGAAGGCTTTAGAACACAAGGCATTTTTTTCTAAGCGAATGCTGCAGTGGAGTGATACAAAAAGTCACTAAAACTGATACCTCTGGCTGATCATGTCTGGCTTATTTCAGCCACTAACATTAGAAGATAAAATCAAATGGAAGCCTCCCAGACCTCTATTTGTCAACTGCCAGTATATTCTGATACTATCACAGTACAGTATATCAAGTACAGTATAGAAAACTGTTGTTTCCCCAACACTGTGCAAGGAGCATACTCCTTTAAATGAGGAAGCCGTTGAATCCTCTTTAATTGCTTGGACTAGATATTTTCAGAGGTTTCCCCAGCTTTTGGCTTCTCCATGGTACTTACCACAAGACAAAAGAACCCAGTCTCACTTTTATTTATTACTGTTGGATGTGACAGATAAGACTGACATTTACAAATAAATAAAAAATAAAAAACGGGGGAGGTTTGCTTTAATCCATCAATTTAAAAATCAGATTTCTAAAGACATCACATTTGTTTTGCTACAAAGAAGAAAATTGGCATGAAAAAGGCATAGAAAGGACTCCAGTGTTACATTCTTTGATACGTGTAAAATATTCAAGCAGGTAGATCTGCCGTCATGCATCAGCACTATTTTTACCAAGCAAAGGTCAAATTTGCATGTTTCAGTGAAAGTTGTCTTTTCAATCAGTTTATTTTTGAAACACAAAGCACTTTGAGTATGTGATGCCCTATAGCCAAATTCTGGGCTTCTAAATCAATTTTCACTCTGGCAAATGCCGGTAGATTTTAATAGTCATTTTGCCTATGTAACCCGCCTCCCCCTCCCACTCACACACACACTATATACTCCTAAACATGTGCTTTGTCATTTATTTATTATTTTACATATAACTTATCTAATGGGGCTGGTATATGTTAAGACTTTCCTTCATAAATGACACTGACTTGATGGTGGTCTTTCTTTTAACCCTCACTTGATATTATTTCCAGTCTTTGCCTCTTCTTTTGCTCTATGGTAGCTTATTTGAGACAGCTGAGTTAGGCATGACTGGGTGGTAAAAGGGTTCACTAAATGTTAGCCTTTTATGCAAGCTTCTGCTACTGCATCATAAAGTATCTTCCATCTTAGTCAAGCTTCATTTGGCTGCTTGAACGAGATGTTACATTTTCTGGGAAATAAGAAAATTAAAATCATGTCACTGCCAAAATTATGGTGTGCACTTCTCTACAAAAGGAGGAGGTAAGATTTGAGAGAGAAAAAGGATTTAAACAATTTTTCAGTAAAAAGGATTGTGCTTAATAAAGGGTCCCAGTCTTCTCTGGATGAATATCTCATCTTTTGTGGAGCTGGAGAAAAGCAGCAAGACAAGAGGATGTAGATTAGGCATATTTTTTAATTAAAAGCAGGAATTTTATGCTTTTGGGACTCCTGCTTCACAAATTGACTTGTGTGGCATGGTGATAAAACAGTAAACAGATTTGTGTATTTCAAGTTAATTTTTTAGATAAGTCTTTTGCTGTTATTTTATAAAGCAGCTACTTTTTGTGGCTGTTATCTTGGGGGAGAAGCCAGGGTATCAGCTAGCATTCCAGGAAAGTATTTTGGAAAATGTGAAATATCATTAAACATTGATCTCTCTGATATTGCAGTGTATGGGAGCTCCGGAGGCTTCAGTGGAGCTGTGCCAGTTTACACCAACAAAAAAATATGTCCCTAAACCCATAATAATTTGAAGTTCTGAAAGTATACCACAGTGTGTTAGTCTTTTCTTAACTCAGCAGTTATATGTAACTTTTTTGTATTATTATGCTAGTGTCTGCTTGGAAAGGCTTTCACTTACCATTGTGTTTGATATAGCACAAGGCAGGGAAACAGTATTAAATCTCTACACTAATTTTTCATTCACTACCTGCCCATGGTTGATGTTCCCAGTGGGCAGAAATCTCACTGCTGTGGAATTGCTGATATAGAGACTAATTCCACCCTGTATTACATAAGTAAAAGGCCTACTGAAACCAATGGGAATGAAAATAGAATTGGACCTATAAGATATAGTTAACTAGCTCTTTTGTGGATGTTCACTTCCCAAATGGCTTCAACATTGCATTGTCACCCAACATGGCACATGTCTATGTCTTACACCAGAAAATGTTTTATTGTAGGTAGGGGCAAGGACTTTTGTGAGTGATCTCTGCTATTGGACCAGCTATGTACTTGGAAGGGACATAGGCAAAGTTTCAGGTACCACAGTACCCTTTCTCAGGTATAAAATGACAGTTTTATAGTGACTCAGAATGCTTTATATGACCTTAGGCAGACAAGGTTCTTTGGGTAAATGTGATATCTTTTATTAAACCAACTGAGGGTTTGGAAAAAGGTTCTTTGCAAGCTTTCGGGTGCAGTCACCCTTCTTCAGGTATAGGAAGTCTCTGCTGTTCAGAGACTCACTTTGACTTAGTTAGCTTCTTACATTCCTATTCAAAGTGCACTTAAAATAGCATGTACAGTTCTATGGGATGCTGGTTTTCACTGTTAGTTTATATTTTTCTCTTCCTCTGTAAGATGAGACTGTTTCTTGCCCTATAAACCCATGCAGGGAACTGACAGGGCAGAACCATTGACTATTCACATTGTGAGAAACAGGCCGTGTCTGTACAAGATGCTGACTGTGCAGTAGCCCATGACTACCGTGCAGTAGCGTCACATGGCAGAGAGTGACGTAACACTACTGTGCAGTAGTTTTGGGCTACTGTGCAGTCAGAGTCATGAAAAAGCTGCTCAGTGGTGCTACTGCGCAGTAACTCTGGTTACTGCACAGTCATTTAGTACTTGTTTATACTTGTATAAAAAAAAGTAGTAAATGACTGTGCTGCAACAACTGTGCAGTCAGCATCTCATGTAGACACGGCCACATTGTAGAAGGCAGAGCAGCATCATGAAGCTGTCACACTCTGTCCTGTGCAGGAGGACTGAGGTAGAGGAAAGGATGTAATGTCAATACATTAGCCAGCAGGGATGATCCAGAGAGAGGCAGAAGTGGATTACTTCTCCTTCTAGGAGAGGAGGAGAACAAAGAAGAAAAGTGTGACTTTAGGGACTACTCTTTGCTTTTAGGGTAAATTCTCCATCTAGTCTTTAATCAATGATATGGGGTGCATAATTGCTATGTTGTTATGGTATTATAGCTATGAATACAATTTAGTAAGTAATATTGTATGTATGTTTGAATTATATCTAGTTCTGTCCTTACAGACTCTCAGATTTAATAGCCAACTAATTGTGGATTTACCATTTTTGTTTCCACAGACAACATCAGCCAATCGGACAAAATATTACGTTTCTTACCGTCGTAATAGCTTTGTACAGATGAAACTGCCAAAATATGCATTGCCAAAGGTGAGTGTGGACATTATATTGTTCTTTCCATGGAAATGTTTTCCTTTATTCCATTTTTGACCCAGTGCAGGTGGGTTCTGTGCTTTTTAATCCTCAGTATTCTGACATGAGAACTTGTTCCTATGAGGCATCAGATTATTTTACTAAATACTGCTTGCATTATATATTTTTTGGGCATATAGCAGCTCTCATTGCAATTTACGGGGCATGCCTACACATTCATTAAAGTGCCGTAGTTACTGCTCGTTAAGTTTAGTACTTGTATAACCAAGCACTGAATCAATGCACAGTAACTAGTGCTACTGCGCAATAGTGCCGGCGCGTGGATTTTTAGAGATGCTTACTGAGCAGTAACCTAATACTATCATAGTTTTTGCCCTGCATGCTACCTCACAGTAGAATTAGGCTACCGTGCAATTAGCATCTTGTGTAGATGTGCCCACAGGCATGGAGAGCAAAGGTTATTGCAATAGCTCTCCAGCTTTGTTCCCAAGAAGCAACCCTCCAGGACCAATGACAAGTGGTCATTGATACTGAGTGAATATTTTTTCAAGAATCACTTACAGTTTAAATTTCATATGGTGAATATCTTCCACAAGCATGAATGGAAGTATAAGGGAATTGTACCAGCCTACTCTCTATCACTGAAAAAAACCTGAGGGCTCCTAGTTACCTATCAGGGTGATGTGGGTGGCAGAGCTAGCTGAAATTCCTGCAGCGTGGCATGCTTTTCAGGGCTGCTATATTAGCATAGTACTCTAGCAGTAAAGTAGAGGCATATATTTGCATGCAGTCTAATTGATGCGACTGAGGTTTTGTGGTACACAGCATGTTGCATAACTTTATGGATAGCTGGGAGGCTTCTGTAATTCTTAAGAAAAATGGCTTAGTTAATTACAGGAGAAACTAACAATTGCATTTTGTGACTGTTGTAGGTTTAGATCACTACCTTCCTGTTTATAGGTGGGGAACTGTACTCTGTTTCCTCATATGTCTTTTTTTAAAAGCAAAGAATATCCTTAAAGGACTTTTTTCCCAACTTTGATTTTTTTTTTTTAACTTTTCTGATGTCCTGTGGTTTTTTTATGGTAAATATGTAGCATAACAACAAAACCCTCAAATCAGACCATCAGATATTATCTGAACAAGAATGTGGAGCTGCCTTCTACTACCATGCATGTTAGTTTTAAAATGCATAGCTAGTCATATGCAAATCAATATGACTTTTACTGGATTATTCGAAATGGCTTCGAAGCAGTTTTTATGGTCTCTTGGGTAATCTGTAATTAGGAAAACAATAAGAGAACATAAAGTTCTAAATGCCAAAATCAAAGGATTCTGTACCATTTTACAGACAGTTTAATGTGTACTTCATATAAATAAAATGGGAGGGTATAATTTGACAGAAATGCTATTTCTGAAATAAATTATACAGTTTTCTGTCCATTCCTCTAAATGCCTCATCTCATCAGAACTCTTAGTTGATTGGTTTTATTTAGCTTTGCTTGGGCTTCTGTTTATTCTTCATTTTTAGTCATTCTGAGTATATTAATGTAATATTTAATAATGGCAAACCCTTGATTTGTCAATAAGGTGATTCAGTGAGGAGTCTTCTTTTTGCCTGTAGGGAACCAGTGCAAGAATCTCTGCCATTATGTTAGGCCTTCATCATCATGTATAGTCACCTGCTGTTTTGTGCACATGACCAGGCCTACAGCCCGTCTTAGATTGCTTTTGTGTAAAATATTTATCTGCATGGCTGGGTGCTCTGTTCTGATGTTTACCTAGAGGCTTTGTTATAAGTGATCCTAGATAAGGACAAGCTGTTGTTGTTAGCATATAAAATATTATTAATATTCCATCAGCATACAAATATTTAAAGCTTTCAGGATACTGACTTCTTTAATTCATGACTTTTGCTTGTAATAAAATGGATGTGCAAGCTTTAACCTTCTTAGTACTGTTATCCAGATTACAGCTAACCTTGTGGGTAGGCTACAGATAAAACAGGCAAAACAGGGCTACAGCCCAACCTTGTATTTGCTTGCACTTCAAAATGTAAAAACAACCATTTATCCCAAAATCTATCTGACAACCTGGGACAACACAACAGATTCTCACCTATACCTGCTGGGGAAACCAGAGAGGTAGGAGGAGGGTAGCGCACAGATTATCAGCCAGTCTTCTTAAATCTGAATTATCCAAATTTCCCTCCAGCCTATGCCCAATATTTATGTATGGCTGGTTTTAATTCTAATAAAGGATCTCTGATTTGTTTTATTTAAATTTCTTGGTTTCACTGAAACTTTTGGACCTGCACTGAACCAGATCTCTTGTGGACTTTGAAGATGCAGTTAGTTGGAATTTATATCCTTGGGGAAACTAAAAGGGAGGGTTCCTTATTTCCTTTCCTTCCCCATTTTGAAATGCTGTTCAACACTGGCTTATTTCTTCTTTACCTTAGTTGATGGTCTTCTCTGACAAGGCTGCTTGTGTTTTTACAAATTATCTAAGAATCTTAACAAAAAATATATCTAATACATTTGGTTACATCAATCACTGCTACTAATATTTTAAGATAAAGCTATGTTATACCATATTTGGATTATTTAATGTATGGCCGTCTCTTATTAATGTCTACCTTCAGGCCTTGTCTTTATTTAATTGTGTTTAGTTAGACATGTGGATAGCTTCCTTTACTTTGCTGATCAAGCTTGCTGCCACATCTGCAAAGGTTCATGCTACGGTCACTCAGAAACAGGCTCTGGGGCTTAGTCACACTTTTACAGCTTGGCTTAGGCCCCTTGAAAATGGGCAAGGCTGGTAGTAGTATTTAGTCCTTTTGTTGAACAAACCTGATTTTATTTTTTTGCAGGGATTACAGGTTTGCTTGTTAAAGGTAGATATAATTCATTTTGGAGTTTGTATGGCATTAAGCTTAGTGTTATATGACATTCTTATGAGAAAAACCCAACATAATATAACATCAGTAAAAAAAGCATTACATGGATTAAGAACTGGTTACCTGATGGATCTCAGAAGTACTCATCAATGGGAAATCATCCACAAATTAGAGTTCTTCAAATGGGGATTAGCAGAGATCACTACTGGATAAGAGGAATCCTAGAATATTGAGACCAGTCCTGGTCCATATTTTAAAATATGTTGAGAGCATTGAGAGGGTGGCAAAGGAAGCAACAAATATTTACTTCACAGTGGGTACATCTACATGTGAAATTAATGTGATGCAATGAACTCTGGCACATACTGTGCTGGAGTTTATTGTTCCTGGGCACTCCACTTACACATGTATCTGGGACTTTAGCATGTTGAGCTGGATCAAAGCAGCCTTGGCTGGTAGGAGGCCCGGGGGAAGTTAGCCTGGTAGCCCAGGGCTGCTCCAACCTGTGTAGGGGCTGGTTGGAACACAAGGGTGCTTCAGTGTGGGGCTAGCCGGCAAGCAGCCACGCACTGAAGCACCCTCATACCCCAGCCAACTCCATCAGTATCTATAAACATGTTGCTGTGCATTAAGGAATGCTGCTGTAGGACTGTATTTGTGTTTCCAACTACTAACACAGAATTGCCAACCCCACCATGCCAAAAATCATGAGACGCACTCTTAAAAAATCAAGAGATTGGCATGTAAATCATGAGATGCTATTTTTGAAGTGTATGGGGGTAGTATCTGTGAAGGCGTTGGGGGCTGTGGATGTGTGTGTGGGGTTTGGAGCCTACCCATCTTGGCAGGATGTGGGGTACTGTGGGTCAGGAGTGAGAAGCAGCAGCAGGGCTGGGCAGGCTGTGGCTTGGGAGTGAAGAGCAGACAGACAGAGATACAGAGACACTGACAGATGCAGAGACAGCACCCAGCTGGTAAGTGGAGGGAAAAGGGTTGGGGGAGAGGGTAGAGGCATGGAGGGGTGGCAGATCAGGGCCTCCACAGTGAGGGACGGAGTGGAGCAGGAGCAGGGGTTGGGATGAATGGGGCCCTGAGGCTGGGGTGGGTTGTCCAGAGGCACGGGGGAGGGGCACAGCCCCCCCACAGCAGTGCACACCCCCAGGGCAGGCATGGGGGCATGTGCCACCTGCGGGGCAGAGGTGGGCTGCTGTGTGGGCTAGAGTTCTGCACCCTGCTGCCTTGCCCCAGGAATTTGGCCATGCAACACCATTGCCGCTCGCTGGGTGTACAGGGGACATGGGATGTGCTGGCCGCACAGCACAACCCCTACCCACCCAGCAGCAGGAGACATACTGGGGTCGCATGGCTGAGCTCCCAGGGAAAGGCATCAGGGCACAGAGCTCCAAGCCCACAACTGGCAGCCTGCCTCTGCCTCTGCCTCTGCCTTTGCCTTGCGGGGGGTACATTCCCCCATGTCTCCCCCAGGGGTTTGCACTGCTGTGGGGAGCTGCCCCCCCCAACACCTCTGGATGACCTACCCCACCCCCACTCCTTCCCTCACTGCAGGGGCCTCAATCTCCTCCCTGTCCCCTCCCTCTCCCCCTGCCCCTTTCCCTTCACTTACCAGCTGGGAAATCCAGAGATCTGAGGGTTGGATTGGGAGATCCTGATTCTGAGTTATTTTAACTTTGAAATCCTGAGTCTTGCAATGGTTTTGCAGCAGTTGGCATTGCTGCTAACCTACAGTTAATGCTCGCTGCAGCCTAATACAGCCATACGTGTAGATGCTGAAACTTTATTGCAGAGCTAATTAGTCTACTCTTCAGCAGACATCTTATGCAGATGTGCCCAGTGGAACCTTAAAGAGTTTAGTTTGTTTAGCTTATCGGAAAAAAAAGATGCAGAGGTGATTTCCTTACAATAGTTAATGTTTCAATATCATCATAGTACTTACAGGGTGTGTCTACATGACACAGTTTCCTATGAAGTAGCATAGTTTACTGCACGTGCACATACTTAGTGCAGTAAACCCCACTAATTGTGAGTAAATTTACTACCTGCAAATGCAAGTAGCAAGTTTACTAGCAATTACTAACCA